GGGTGCACTTTATTGCAGCATCCTGGTTGGATTCGCGTCCCCTTCCCCACGCAAATCTCGGGGAGCCCCACTCGCATCCCAGACCCACCCGGAGACCAGCGGTGCCCACCCACCCCTCCCAGGGGAGCAGCGCCGGCGTGGTTGGGGATGGGGGTGCTGGGCACCCCGCAGGCTGGAGGGGGGCCCATCGCTCCCTGTCCTCGGCGGGAGCAGGCAAAAATGGTCCTCAATTAATAATAATTTAAAAGAAATAGAAATAGAAATAGAAATAGAAATAGAAATAGAAATAGAAATAGAATAATGAGAAGAAGGAGAAGAAAAGGGAGGAGAAGAAGAAGAAGAAGGAGAAGAAGAAGGAGAGGAAGAAGGAGGAGGAGAAGAAGAAGGAGGAGAAGGAGAAGAAGAAATATAATAAGAATAATAAGAAGAATAAATAATGAGATCCTTCTAATTGCATCAAGGAGGAAGGTTTGAGCTTGGAAAAGGTGCTGCAAGTAGCTGGCGCATCCCAGGCGGGATCTCAGGCGTTGAGGAAGGATGCAAAGACTGCGGAGGAGAGTCCCACACGAACCCCACCTGCCTCTTACCATAGCTTCCCCCAGATTTGTCCTCCAAGGTGGGATGCGTGAGCAAATGCTCAGTCCCAGGGAGACATCACCTGTTGCTGTGGGGTTTAACTTTCCACTTAAAACCATTTCTCTGCCTCCATGGGAATGAAATTAAGCTCGGGGGAAGATGCAGGTATGGGTTATTACACTAAAAACCATGGAGTCTTAGAGACCCAACCTGTTCATTAATTCATATTGTTTCCTCCAAACCAATTTTTCACTAAATGATTCAGAAAAAAAAGTCAAAACATTGTTTCGCCACCCAAAATGATGCCTTGTTTCACCATTTATTGCCATTTTTACACCAGGTACCTGCTCTGGTGTGAGTCTCTTCGGACCTGACAAAGAGAAACGCCTCATCCTGCTCCAGCCCTGGCAATCCCAAAAGCTTCACCAGCTTTTTGTTATTCCCAAATAATGCTGCAGGATGCCCAAATCTCCAGGCAGCACCAGCTTTTTGGGGGGTAATGGGCTGTGTCAGGCTGTGGGGCGGGGAAGGGGAAGGGATGCAGGCACTAATTTTCCTCCATTCCCCGTCTCCAGGGACACTCGGGTGGGAATAGCCACCGTCAGCCGCCGTAAGGGAGGCCCCGCACCACACACCGCCCACATCTCCCTTTTGTTTTTCCGCCACCAGTTCTCGTTCCTAAGGAGCATCCCTAGATGCAAATGGGGAGAAACCATGGAAACCATCCGGTAATATCAGCATCCTGCCAGCGAGGTCCTGGGCTCCAGGCTGCACCAGGCAGTGAGGGCACCATGGCCCCCTAGGAACCTTCCCTTTGCCCCATCACCTTTAATCCCCAAGTGCTCACCAGGATGGAGGAAAAAAGCCTTTTTGGCAGGATTAATATTGGGCCAGACCCAGGATAGGGTCACAGAAGGTGTTTTTTTGTCTTCCCCCATCCCATCTCCGAGGCTTCTCCACCTCCAAACACTAACTGCATGTCATCACCTGACTCCCAGAGCTGGGGATTTATAGAAAAGCTCCTCAGAGGGGTAATGTCTGAGGAGACTCAGAGGAGACAGGTTGTGACTCCCAAGGTCCCCATTGCTGGTTTCTCTTGTAGAGGAGAAACACACACTTCTGCCTGCGTCCAGTCGAGTTGTGTGGGATTTTCCCATTCCCGAGGTGCTGGGACAAAGGCCACTGTTCCCCACGTTCCCCACCACAGGGAGACTCGGAACCCTGTGAGCTGTGGCGCTCATACAGCCTTGGAAAGCCCCTTGGATGGTTTAATTTCCTATTTACACCCACCCTGGCAAGGACGTACCTTCTCCCAAAAGCCTCCCCAGCTTCACTCCGTGATGGAGAGGGGCAGGAAAGGAGCCGGTGGCGATTTGAGCACAGAGAGGTGCAGAGCCGTACCAGAAGAGCAGAGGGTTTATTAACAATTAAAAAAAGAGGGCAATGACTACAGAAATTCTGGTTTTCTCTTTTCGTTTTTTCTTTTTTAAAGGAAAGCTGACAAAGCGTCTGGAGAACCTCAAAGGCAGCGGTGGCAGGAGATGGTGGCCACTAGATGGGGACATCCTCGTGGATACGGACCTGGAGGGGACAGATGCGGAGTGCCTCGGGCGCCGTGCCCACGGGCGCACCCCCCACGTAGAAGTAGGGGAAGACGGTGCCGCCAAACTTCTCGTGGAAGGTGTAGATGTGGGTCTTGCGGTCTGCATTGTAGAAGGAGAGCTCCCCTTCGTCGCAGTCCAGCTCCACTCGGATCCGTCGCAGGTCACCCAGCGCCGCTTCCGACCGCGCCGCATTGGATGCTCGGCACATCTCGCCGTCCTTCCCGGGCAGGCGGTAGATATACCAGAAGCCGGAGCGAGAGTCATGGTGGAAAGTCCAGTGGGTGCCATTACGCGGCCGGGCCACCCCCACGCGCCAGTTTGTGATGCTGCCCAGGTCCACCTCCCAGGTGTGGAAGCCGGTGGAGAAGCCACGGGAGCCCAGGATGCAGGGAGCCGCAGTGAAGCGCTCAGGGTTCTCCACCAGCAGCTTGTAGCTCCCGTTGGTGACACTGGCGAGGTCCTCAGACACCGAGAGCCAGCCTGCCGCGGAGTTGGGGTCAAAGCTGAAGGGGACTGCGGTGGGGACACACGTGTTAGGAGCCCAGATCGCCGCAAGGATGAGCTTACGGAAGGACTGCAGCCCTGCGTCTATCCATCCTTCCCTTTCCAGGGACAACCCAGCTCACCACGGAGAAATGCATGCTCCAGGGCTTCCTTTTTGGGGTGCAAGTGCCCCAGAGCACCCTTTATGCTCTCCAAGCCCCTTCCCCAGGCCCATCAGCCGCAGGGATGGCTGCTCCATGCTCCTCTTCTCTCCAGCAACCACCACCCCTGGGACTGCCCCATGCAAAGACTGCTTCAGACTCGGGACAACCACCCTCCGCAGGGACCCACAGGTCCCCAAGTACCTCACCTACGGTGATGATGTCCAGCATCTTCTTCCAGACATTGTACTGCAGCGAGCCCAGGTACTTGGCAATGTCGAGGAGCATCCCTGAGGGCACAGCCTCCGGCTCCTCAGCTGTGCAGGCGATCCTGGGGCAGGGGTGGAGGACGGAGACGGGTTGAGGATGGAGAAAGCGACAGAGACAGGTCTCCTTGCACCCCGTGTTTCAGCTGGGGGTTCCCCACCAGCACCCCACATCTCCCAAATGTTGCTCTCACTCCAGGAGGGTGGAGAACCGCGCCGGGAGGGTCCCAGCACCCAATCCCCACCACCACCATCAGAGTTTTGAAGCACCTCCCAAGACCTGCAGTGCTACTTTGTCTCTGCCTGCATGTCCCCCCCATCCTGCCCGGAGGCACCCAGGGCTGCTGCCTGGCCTTGGGGACCCCCAGCACCTTCTTCTGCTGGAGCACTCGGACCCAGAGGAGACACACGGGTGTGGGAACGCGTCCAGAGCAGAGACCTCACTCCACAGACAGGCAGGAGACCCTGTTCAGCCCCAGGGAGCGGATGTGGGGCCTCAGCCCCCCCGACCACCCTGTGTCACCAGGCAGGGGACATGGTGGGGACCAGGACTCACCTGCGCTTGCGGTTCTTGTGGGTCTGAAAGAGAAGGAGACACTGGGCATCAAACCTCAGCTTCTAAGGGGGCTTGCAACCACCCAGAGGATTGCCCGGTGCCCTGCTGCACCCCAGCAGAGGCAGGAGGGTACCACAGCCTGGGTGCCACCCCACAGGGCAGCAACCTGGCAGGGCTTTACCATGAGGAAGGTGTAGTCATCCTCCTTGATGTCCATCT